CCCCAAAACCCCAAAACCCCAAAACCCCAAAACCCCATTTATTTGCCAAAGTCTTGAAATAGATAGATAAAATGTAAGTCTTTCAAACCTCCATTATGAGAAAATTCGTCTCATAATTTTGGTATAGATGTCAATTCAACAACCTTTGACCTTCGAGTTCAACCAGTATACCAAGAGTTCCTCATCTGTGAAGAAAGAGACTACAAAATGGGAGTCCCTCCAAAGAATGGAGCATTTAAATAGTTCAGTTACTGCCTTCTCTCTACCAATGAAATTGCTGGAAGTGCCTCAAATTGAAGGTATTTAGTCAGTTATTTAAGCTCATAGCGTACCTAAAATATATCAATAGCTCTGAAGAACTCAGCAGTGCTCCATCAAGAGTACCAGTGCTCAATTCTCCTTGTGAATTAAGAGGTAAGCCATCATTACCGTATGAAGTTATGTGCATGAGGTTATAATAACATTTCTGAATTCTTCGAACTTGAAGAATCGTTATAAACCAAAAATTCTTTCAGCCTGAGTTAAATCCTCTCTTAGTGCTATTTAGTGCTGCAGGGCTTGCCATAAACGCTCATAGGAGCTCAAGCATTTTTTGAATCCAAAACGTACAAAATTTATGTGTCAGTTCTATAGAAATTTTTCGGAACTTTCAAACCACTGACGTAGGCATCTTTCAGGACTGTTCCCTTCCAGTATAACTATTGGAGCCCTATACTGGCCATAATTTGCATCTAAAGTCTTTACCCAACTATGTTTGCCTAAAACCTCAGGTTTGGCTACAAGAGGATGCTTGGAAATTATCTGGATATCTGTCTTAATTTGGTACTATTCTCAAAACTCGGCTTTAGATGCTGCAAAAAAAATTAGCTTAACTCAAAACTGGTTGTCCAGAGTCACTTCTGAGGGTCTGGACAACAAGAAGCTTGTATAGTTTTCATTAAAAATAAACTATCCATAACACTCAATTTAGCTGAGTTCATGATAAACCAGGAAAAGTCACTGAATGCTCTCTCCGAATTTCTAAATGACGAAATGAGGCTGGGAGAAGCCACCTGAACTAGTCATACAGGCCAACAGCTTGGCAGAGTTAATATGTCTTCCTCGAGTACCAGTGCGAAATCGGAAGATTATAAAATTCTCGGTGGTCAGAAAGAACTTCTGGCCTCCGAAACACCAGAAATCTTAAAGAAGTATAAATATGAGCTCAGCTTTGTATCCAGCTGAGGCCCCAACAGGAAGAAGAGAGTCATTCATTGCAAGTATGCTGGCTGAAGCAAATCTTTCATAAAGGCCTGGAACTTTGTTGACCATGCCAGAATGCATCTTGGAGAGAGGCCATTCGCATGCAAATTATGTCCTTCTCGGTTTACTCAGAAAGGTAACTTAAAGAAGCATATGAAAAAGCACTCCCAAGGCAATAAGGCATCCAGAAGGTCTCTTAAAGCTTAATTTCCTCTTCTAAAATATTGCCAGTATTTATTGTGCTAGCTGTAGTTCCTAACTTTGTGAAAGAGAAACGCCGTGAGCCATATCTCTCAGCTCTATGGTTAGAAATTATCCAGAATTAATAAGATTTTTCGAATAATTTTATAATACCGGGAAGAACTTCTGTCCGTAGTATCAGAAATTCTTTCCTATGATGGAAACCCCTGGATCAGTTCCGAGAAACCCTTTATAAATTTAGTGTTTGACAATAATAAGGTTTATTTCAGTAAAACTTTATCAAATTTATTAACGAGCCAGTGCTAAAAACCCTCGTTGAGACCTGACTGCTGCCATATCTCAAAAGAGAGGTTACTTTAATAACCTTACCTTAGATGATTCCAGACAAGGCTTTGTGACATAAGGGAGAGGATTCCCGCACTAATTTCCAGAACAAAATAGGAGAAAATATGATTTGTCCTGCTGAGATTTGCTTCTAAGAGATATTTCTTTTGAAAAGGTAAAATACAAACTATCACAAGCGGACGTTCGTTAATGACCCTTACAAAAAGGGGCAAAAAGTATCCTTGTCTTCACCAAGACGAGTCTCAGATTAATTGATTCCTAGGAATATTAGCTAGAGCAGGCTAATTGTCTAATTTGGATGCTAAATCTCGTATCAAGAGATCAGTGGATCCTCTAGACTGTAAAAACCTTAGGATTTCTCGTTGCCAGTCAAATAATTTGTTGTAAGAAATCAAGCTTAGCATGCTTATTGTGATTCTTGAATCTAAATTAAGCGAGGTGAAATCCTTTTAAAAGAAATTAGCACTAAAATTATGATGTAAACCGATTTTATACAGAAAAGCTGCCAAATTTTTACCCAAAGCGGTCTATTCCTACCCTAAATAGGAGAGTTTGGCCGGATTAATTGAAACTGGGTAAATAAAGAAGTGTAAATCTTCTAAAACTATCCAAAGAACTTCTTTCTCCTCCTTACTTTCGTTAATGGCTTTATGTGTCGAACTTTCTTTCGAGCTATAAAAGGTAAGGAATGGAACTGTACCTTCACCTTAAAGAATCTCAGTAATCAAGAAAGCTTTTATAAGAATCTTGTCAGTATAATTATTTATAAACACTAATTTTCATGTTGAGGATAAGCTCTGGAGAATTAGTCCTAACAAAAAGATTCATCAATTTGACCTTTTCTCTTCTATTTCTGCCATGTTCGGAACAATTTTCTGCATGTTCATTTGTGATCAAGATTCACTGTTAAGGGATCCGGATTTTGTAAGAAGCTTATTTTAGCTTTCTTATAACATGGTATCAAATAGTGGCTATTCCTGATAGGCTTAATGAACTCAAAATTATAGAGATAGTAGCAAGACCCTATCCATAGCATCAAATCTCGTCTTTCCTGATTTAAAAGGATCATTACGCCATAAGAGCATTGGTGAAATTCACCTGAAGAGAGGATGAACTCATGAATAGTAAGCGTGCTTTAGAGTAGCACTCTAGGACTTAATCTGGCAACAAAACTTGCACTAGACCGCACATTTACAGCATTTTTAATAAACCTAGCTTCAGCTTAGTTCAATTTTGGATACTTCTCCAGGGGTTTTGGGGTTTTGGGGTTTTGGGGTTTTGGGG